GCAGCCATGGTGAATCCGATACTGTCCGCCCATGTAGAGATCGCTATGATGCTATCAAGAAAAAAACAATTCAAGCAGTAATCGATAAAAGAACAAGGGATCATTTTAGGCGTACTTTGACAACTCTTACACCAGTAACTGAGGGTTTAAAACGAGTAGCGGTGAATTTCGACAAAAACATTACCAAACCATTGATTTCAAAGTTTAGAAGTTTTGGCCTAGATTAAGTATTCAGCAGCAGGACAAATCAGCTGAAGACACTGTTAGGATCAACAAAAGATTCAATAGATGTCTTAGGGAAAGCCGGAGTCTACAAAATCTCTTGTCCAGATTGCAATAAAATCTAAATTGGTCAGACGAAAAGGACTTTGGAAACAAGGTTTAAGGAACACATCGCTGAGGTAAAAAAGGCTAACAAAGAGATGGATAAAGGACTTCATTATGAATTTAAATCCAAGGTTGCAGAACATATCGTTACAAAGGGGCACAATTTGACTAAGGATAACATTAATATCCTGCGGACTGTATCTTCGCCTTGGAAACTAGACGTACCAGAAAGTTTAGAAATATTTAAACATAATCCATCAACATTGCTTAATAGAGATCAAGGAAACGGATACTCGAGACTCTTTAGCATGCTACCTAAAACAACACATCGTAGCATGCATCTACCTGTCGGAGACTGAATTTAGGTACCTTCTTGGTTTATTCTTGAACATCTGGAAAGTTCCTTGAAATTTACGAAGTTCCCATAATTTTCTAGAAGTTCATTGAGCTTTTTTGAAGTAAGATCTCTGACAAACTGCAATGAAGTTCCCTAAACTGAAGATCTTAGATCTGAACTTGTACGTAAATATTTAAAAGAACTATTCAAAGCTCATGAGGCTTCAAAAAAAGTATCGTGAAATCATATGAAGATCCCCGAACAATATTGAGGTTCCCTACTATGTTTCGTTAATTTCTACAATGTTCCCCGAACTTCTTAAAAGTCCTTAAAGTTTAACGAAGTCTTCAGAGGTAAAAGAAAAATTCCTGCACTCTTGGCCAATTTGTAGAGCCAGAAGACGTCTTATTATGCCATCGATTGAATGTCGATATAATATAAATGTTCGAAATTGTTTCTTCTAGCACATAACATATGTGGAACTCGTTCTTAAAAAATCGACCCCATTTCAGTGATTTCAAGTGGTATAGTAGGACATCGATCTGTCAAACTGATTATACTAGCTGTAAAATAAGAAAAGAGATCAAGGGATTAGTCAATTCTATTAAAATATTTCTAACGTTGTTTATAATTATATTTTTTTTATTTATTTATTTTTTTTTATTATTATAGTTACTTTAACACTCTTGGGTCATTCGTGACTTGTCCGGGGGTGAGATTTGAACTCGTGACTTTGGCGTGAGAGGTATGGATGCTAACCACTACGCCGGGGTCGCCCCATGTTTATAATTATATGTCTTCGTAGCGCTTTTGAACTCATGTCTTTGTATTGCCATAATAATTTACATTCTTTATTTATAATTATATAGCTATCGTTCTTTATTTATAATTATAAATTATCGTTTGCATAAAAAGGGAGACATTTTTTGAGTGTTTTAAGCGATGACCTGATGAAGATGTTTTAAGCGAAAATTGGAGAAATTCCATGCGAATACTTGTTTATTTTTTTAAATTTGCGTAGGTGTTTTTTTTTTCAATTTCCTTTCTCTATGATAAACTTAGATAACAAATGTATCCACCATTTTTCCATTAAAATTTCTTGTTGGAACCAATTGCATCAAATTTTGATTTCATTTCATAACGTAGGAGGAAAAATACGACCGCACAAATTTGGAGTTAGATACAGTTTAAAGCAGCAACATTTTGCAACAAGTGTCCTGGTATATAATATAAGTATAGCAAATCTTAAGAAGCTGTCAAATTTCTACCGCCAGTATAACAAAGAGCTAAATGCTGAAAAAAACATAGTGTGCATTGAGAAATTGAAGTATATTTGCTGGCGACTCTTGGAAGTCTTGTTCATTTGATAGCTTTAGTGGAACTTAATACGGAAAACAGACATAAATCTCTTGGTATTGTGGAAAATATGCAGTGTTTTGAGCTGACCTTGCATCTTTCCATTCACAAGAATTGTGAAAGAAGGTTGACAAATGAAATCGAGCGCTTATCGATACCTGTAATACCCAAGGTTTCAACCCTCTCTATGTTTCTCAATTGCGTAAAATTGAATTTTTCTGCTTAAATCCCAACACAAAGATCTACTGACTGATTATCTACAATATGATTGGTTAACAATGCGCTTGATTGACTTCTGACCGACTTGAAAACACGCGTTAATAAATCCTTTGCCCTAGAGCTAGTCTAAAAAAGAATGGCCGCATTACCTTGACAATAAGCCTTTTCGGTCACTCTGTAACTCTTTACTCCTATGATAAAATCCCATAAGCAAACGTCAGTCTGTGCGAGAAACATGTTAGACATTACCTTACCCTTTCACTCCAGTTAAAAATCTCATATGATCCTGTTCATCTTTATATGAAAAGCCGGTGGCTCGCTGGTACCATGGCATGGTGGAGTGAAGAGATAAGACAAAATCCGCTAGACTTCGGGATTTTACCGTAGGAGTAAAGAGTTAAAAAGCCAACGTCAACGTCAATACTTACACGTTATTTCAAAACTACTCAAATTTGGGTAGAATCCTCTCAGATCGCTCACAACTGAACCTACTTGTGCGACTTACCTTGTGAAGAGCTGGTCCGAAAATGAGTGGAGAGTTGCCCGTATGTGTTTATGAAGCGTTGCCATAGAGACCTCCGTTTACAGAGCTTGCTGACTCGTTAAGCGTCAAGTTAAGACCTGCTTACACTAGCGCTAATATATGTCACACACTACTCAAAAATGGGTAAACTATGTTGGTAGTGACAAGCTGACACATGAGTAGCATTAACATGGATCCGTCCGACGTTGTCAATTGTTAACCTGTCACTCCCAACATAGTTTACCCATTTTATGATAGATTCAATTTTGACCGATCAGGGTGGATTTTACTTAAATTTGGGTAGTTTACAAATAGCGTGTACTTAGCATGCAACCAAATATCTGATTTTCTTTCATAAGGGCTAATGTCACAAACGTAAACACTGACTTTTCCATGAATTTCTTGAGAATTAAAACTCACTCAAGTAAGTCACCACGATGTTTGTATATAGGGAAAGTCCCCATAGCTGATAGAATTGCTGGATTACATGGATTGACTTTGAATTACAAGATATTTACGAAAGAAGCCATTGCTTACGTTTCCGACATTGGCCCATATGAAGGTTCAGGGTCGAATCACGAAAATTTAATTTTGACAGATCGATGTCCAACTATACCAGTTGTACCATTGAGGAAACACAAAAAAGGGGTCAACTTTTAGTCAGCAGCTTTGCATGAAGTTCCACATATGTTATGTGCTTCTAGTCTAGAACATTAAGAAAAGTAGACATATAATATAAATTCTCGACATTGTTTCTTCTGGTATAGAATATTAAGAAATGTAAAATTGCTTGCTTAGCAAAATACCGGTGTGTATAAAAAAAACACCCAAAATTTGGGGGGGCAGATAATTTTTAAGGGAGCCTGACCCCCTTGGTACCCCCGAGAGCTACGCCAATGGGCCGCAGTTGGGCTGCGCTGTTCAAAAAATGATAACTTTCGGGTTCGACATTTTCACGACTTTCCTGGACATAGAGTATTATTGTGCATGCCACACAATATACAGCTTTCCCCCGAAGAACGCGTTACCCACTGAATTCTACCCATCGCTTTGTCTCGGTGGGTTTTCAACCAAGTGCTCTGATTTTCTGCGAGTGACTAGTTCTCCATTGGCACTACTCACATGCAAACAATCAGACCGACTGGTTGAAACCGCGTTCTTCAGAAGAAACCTTTGTTTTTTTTTCCACATCTGCGTAGGATATCTCACCCATTCAAAACACACATGGGCCAAGACCAACCCCGGCTCTACTTCCCTTCCGAAGAAAGACGTGACCAGAGATTTGTATGCCTCAAAAAATCCCACCTACCTCGGCTGGGATTGAACCCAGACCCATTGGGGTGAGAAAGCAGTCACGCTTACCACTACACCACCGGCGCCGGCTCGGAAGATAGCTGTACGTGTATTGGTTGGTATAAAAAGCTCTCTATTAAAGTGTTTTAGTGCTTCAAAGAACACAGAGCAGGCGTTACCACAGAATTGCTCAATTTTATCTTTTATTACTCAAAGGAGAAATAAGTGATCAGATTCGATAAGAAGTGCTTATGAGGACTCGTAAATTTGACTCTAGTCCTATCCCGTAGAGTATACGGCTGCAATAATTTGGCAAAAGGGTTGGGCCGTGTCTTTATTTCTCAAAAACCCCTTACCTGAAGTACTAGCCTTAATCTCTGATTCCAACATAAACATAGTCCTTTAAACCACCCATAATCTTTTCAATGAAAACTCCTTTGTTCTATTTATATGACCACTTTCAAATGTTTGCCACCAACAAGTGCATGGGTATTCCCCGCCATTCATAAATCTACGGGGCGTTTCCCATGATGGTTCTTAACCTCAGCACTTTCCTTTTTGTTTATAATGTCCATGTCTCACCGTGGTATCACATATCAGGCAGCCGACTGCACTAGTCGCACGAGGCAGACTGGTATTTCTGATGCGATAGGTTTTCCTCATTGTGACGAACCTTCTAAACCCGCGAAAACAGGTTCTTTGGTCATGTAAGACAAGATGAAAAATGCAGCAAATTTGTGTTGGTTTATGAAGGACGTTTCAACGACACGCGCATCGCGAAGATGAGCTTGTGCTAAACTAGGACGTATAGAAAAGGGCGCTCTGATCACTGATCACCGCCCAATAGATGTATTCTTCGAAAACGTAGAGAGCGCTTTCTCAGAGTTGTCGAGAGGAACTTTCGATCGACAGCGAGAGGAACGAATATGCGGTGTAAAGATCACGATCGGCGACAGTCAGTGTGCGTGTTGATCTGCTAGCGTGAGGTTCGTCGCGTTTCTTATTTCTGTATTGAATCCAGTACTCACGAGTTGCATTAGAATAGTTTTGCCTAAAGAATGCTCACCTGTAGTAAATAGAGTATGGCATCAATATAGCCATGATGTGTTTGTATCTGAGTAACGATAGCTATTAAAAAAGCCCAGTTCACATGCTATGCTTAATTAGCGTATATGGTAATCTTTGTAATTTAATACGGTGTGCGGTTAGCCGACAGATTAATTAACCAGCAGTAGTGGAGAAATTTGCAAATTATTCCAGCAAACATTGTGTTTGTATATTGGTGATAGTCACCAAATAATCATATCAACGACGGTTTCATCGAAAGTGATGTCACCCAGAAGCACTGGAAGCTGAACAAATAAGTCACCGGAACCAGTTTTGAATTAAAAAAAAAAACACCATTGAAGGTCAACAGCTTGCAGAAGAAAATTGATAACAGCCAGGAGACGACTAACAATAATGAAATCCAAAACCACCAGCGAAGTTGCAAAGCTATTGGCGTTGGCGTTCACATTCATCGGAATAAGCTCAACCCGAGCGCAATACCTGCAGTCCCCATGCCCCGACGTATTCACATACCAAGTCGATTCCAACACCAACCAAATATTTGGATATGTCGAAATCAGCAACATTCAAGTCGGCCAAGTTGCGAAACTAAACATCGATCTATCAATCGCGACGCAATTGGCACAGGTGAGCGCTCTATATTGTAATTTTATATCCCATTAGGTTTAGTAAATCGGAAACACAACAACTTAATAAAATCAAATAAGTTGAAAATGCTGCCACAGGGAGCTTTCTCTAAAATTTAATGTTAAGTATACGCTCAAATCTATTGAAATAATAAAACACCAACAACACGGTACAAGCCGACGATTGATACAGAGAAGAAAAAATCCCCGCAGAAGCAGATTAACCACTTTTGACAGAGGGCCTGTTCATAAACTACGTAGACAGTTTTTTGGGATTCTTCATCCCCCCCCCTCCCCCTGCGTAGACAATTGTCCATACAAAAAAATTAAAATTTGTATGGGCCGTGGATAATTGTCAACCCCCGCCCCCCCTAAAACTGTCTACGTAGTTTATGGACAGCCCCAGACTGTATTGTGTAAATACAAAATCAATCTTGCGATTGCGGCGCGTTATATTTCACGACCATAAATGAGGAAAACCATGTTAAAACGTAATTCATCGTAGAGGTTTTCGCGTTCGAATGATTAAAAATTCGTTTAAGCTATGGACGGTTTCCCATGCGACTATGGAATGCGCATCAGCTTATCAAAAACGTAACAGAGCATGTTGGCTCGACAGCAAATGCACACACAAAAAGTGGCAAGCGGCAAAAATGTCGTGACATTTCTGAACTTTTGCTGCCAGCGACGGAAAATTTTCGCACAAAGAACGCGCAACACAGGTTAATGTCATGTAGAATTTTGCTGATTTCTGGGAAATTACTGTGTGTATTTGACGTTTATTACGTAGAATCCAAAAGATAAGAATGAATACTAACCACTGATAAGCATACATGTTAAAATTGTGTGCAAATAATTTGGTTGTTAATTTACGGTTACACGCAAGCGTTATTTTTTTATATTCTTCATCTCTGGCTTTGTTTGAAATGTACCCAATACACGACCATCGGACTTTGATTTTGAAAAAAAATATGTAGGGCAAATGGGGGTAAAATTCCCATGACAGGAAAAATGCATCTCTTGAACTTTAAATGTACTATTGAAAAACAATGTTGGCAGAAAACCATTCAAGAAAAGTTATTCCTTGAAACAGCTGGTTTCTCTACCAAACACTACCAAAATTAATGATTTGTTGTGAGGAACATCCTTCATCATGCAATCACTGGTATGTTTAATAGAAACATAGCAGTTATTTTCAACATTATCATTTGCTACTCTTATGGCGGTAAGCTCCAACTCGGATTAACTTTTAATACCGTCCCAGTTTGGATGATCTGCAAAGTGTTTGATTAGAGTTGTGTTCATTAACTCCGATGTCTATATAAAAGAGGCCTGACATTATTGATCGGGATTTAATCCGAGGATAATACTGTTTGGAGCTTACCATCATAAGTGGTACATAATCTGCCCCACGAATTGTAGTGTTAGCCTTTGAAATTCAACAAAGGAAGAACATAGATTAAATACAAACTACCTTGGTAACCTATACCTAGGTGATGTTTAGCAACACTGCCAATGTAATCAAGATAGGCGCTGCTTGATTCGCTTGGCTCAAAACTAGCCAGTCTGCTCCTGTCTAGCTGAATTTGTGTGAAACTTCTGACGATGATGATGGTCCCAGCTATTACCCCTACAAAGGTTTGAGCTGGACGATTTATCTTTGAGATAATTAAATATGACATTTCAACCAGGCTAGCAAACAAAATCGAACTGGTTTCAGTTACAGATATAAATTCCAGCGATATAAATATGGAAAAGCTCAGGCGTCCACCTCCTAATTCGCCTTTTTGTCCACCTAAAATATTCATAAGTATTACAAGCAATCAAGAGTGAATGAACAATCAACAAAGCATCCTATTACACTAGCAACCCCGCAATCTGATGCTATCATAATTTTCAGCAATGTCAGGAATGCTCACGAACCCCCAACATTTGCCAGAAAACTTACTACTAACTCAAGGTATCAAATTTTAAAAATCCACCATCACCATCGTGGCGAACAGAAATAGTTTTTGCAGTGCTACAATAATTATTGAAAAAGTCGTTATGACAGCTATCGATATAAAATAATCCGTTAGAGATAACTTCGTCAAGATACATAATTTGTCATTAAAAAAATCACTGGATAACTGTTCAAACGATAGTTCCAACGTGTGAAATGCAGTGTCTTTTTAATTGAACGTTTGATATGTCTAGGCATCGAATTGAAAACATTTATTCCTTTATAATATAATGAATGTTGTGAAGCACAAGTCAAGAAATGTGGTGTTCTTATTTCAACCGCGTTTCTAGTATTATACCTATCTATGATAGTCACTACCTCTTTCAATTCGATCACACAAATATCGAGGCAGAAAACCGTTGACTACTTTAAAAATAAACACCATAGTCAAATATACAATTCTTTACTTCACCGACAACCATTGTAAGGCGTCTAGCATCACAGTTGAGGAAATGAATCTATTACATCTCAAAATCAAACGCATTATTTTACTCTGCAAGCGCTGTAATCTCGATATTTGTGTTGCATTGGACAGAAATAAAATGGAAGGGCAAAAGTCTAGATGAGGAGAGATGATTGATTTGTATAGCTGTATTTTACTGGCAATAGTTAAATCGTTTTTCAGTCGACATAGAATTCCATACTGCTTGGCATTTTTCTTGATGACATTGTCAATGTGAGAGTTGAACTTAAGTGTGTCATCAATAATCACGCCAAGATATTTAATCTCCCGAACACGATCAATAGTCTCATCATCAATTACAACAGAGACGTTCTCATTTACTCTATTCCGCGAAACTACCATAAATTTAGTTTTACTTGTATTCAATTTCAACAGCTTATACTTCAACCATATACTTAGAGAACGCAAATCTTCATTCAAGTGTAAAACGGCATCATCTAAATCCTTAGCTGCAATGAATAACACAGTATCATCTGCAAAAAGATTAATGTCGCAAAATCGTAAAACACGTCGCAAGTCATTAATATACATAATAAATAACAGGGGCCCTAATACAGTTCCCTGGGGCACTCCAAGGTTATTCCTCACGGGACTGGAAACAGAATCATTAAAAACAGTCCGTTGAGTTCTGTCAGACAAATAGCTTTCAAACCATTTGTATGCAGTACTCGTAATTCCAAAGCGCTTGATTGATCTCAACAATAAGGGGCTAGAACTTGTTTTAAAAGCGCGTTTAGGATCCAAAAAAACAGCAACAATCGTATCTTTACACTCCAAGTTATTTTTCCACTTCACTAATATCAAATTCAACGCGGTTTCACAAGAATGACCTTCCCGATATCCCGATTGTTCTGGTATCAATAAACTATAACTATTTAAATACTCAAACAGCTGGCCTTTAACAACAAGTTCTAAAATTTTCTCTAATGTGTGCAACATGTTGATGGGACGAAACTCTTCGGCTTTAATCGTTCCAGCCACTTTTTGAATAGGGACCACTAAGGATTTCTTCCAAATTTGTGGCACATGTCCAGTTTGTAATGATTCATTAATAAGGTCCAGCAAGATGTGGCCAATGACATGAAAGCAATCTTGAATAACTCTAGCATTAACATTATCTACTCCAGCCGATTTTCCTAATGAAAAACAAATAACTCTAAGTTCATCTAATGTAATTGGGTGAAAAACTTCAAATCTACAACTACTATTAACTGGCTGTTTTATTTCGCCAGGTTCATCGACCAATCTGTTACATCTGTTACAAACAAGCTAATCGTAAAATCACTTTCTGTCAAAATTTTACCTCTTTCCCCCACTTGTCAGTTCACCTTTTATTGAATATGCACTTGGAAATTGCACTTTTAACTTTAGCAACATCTTTCAATCTTCTATCGGAGGTGTTAGCGATCATGATTTGATCTGCTTCGATTACAGAGGTACCTCATCAACCTCCAGCCTGGACAAGAGAATATCACAAGATAAACACCGATAGTTTTATAGCCGACTTGCAAAGGTACATTCTTGATGCTATTTATTACCACAACTCAGTTGATGGAAAATTACAAACTTTAAACGATATGCTTTATTCTGTCATTGATGATCATGCTCCGTTGAATATGAAAACTACTGTTGATCCTGGTGCTCCATGGATTAATCCATACATCCAAAATATCTTCCAAAAGCGATCTGACGCTCGTGATAAATGGAAAACAGATACATCCAGTGAAGCCTAATGGAATGCTTTTACAAGGTTGCGAAATAGGTCAAACCGCGTAGTGAAACAATCAAAGTTCACTTAGTTCTCTCGTCTCCTTAGGCCTTCTCTTTTTTCCAATAAACTTTGGGAGAATATAAAACGTTTGGGACTTTCAAAACTCAAATTAGAGCAGGTGGTGGTGACGTGTGTAACATCACTGCTGAATCATTGAATCAGTCCTTCATGTCAAATCAAGTGCCTGTTACTTTTGATGAACGATTTATAGCTGGTAGGTCCTCGTCAACTTCTTTTTCATTTAGGAATGTAACGAATGAAGAAGTCCTGACTGAAGTTAATTCCACTCCAGTGATTCTATCGGCTTTGACCAGTTACCACTCAGCGTTTTGAAAAAAAAACTCTTGTTGTCATTCTTTGTACCATCACGAACTTATACAATCACATTAAAACAACTTCAACATTTCCACAGCACGCGTTGTACCTGTTGGCAAAATTGATAACCCAATGAACAACAAGGTCTACACACCGATTAGCATCCTAACTGCTATTTTCAAGATTTTTGAAAGTCTTCTGACTAAACAACTAAACGATTATCTGATTCATAATACGTTACTATGACCTTTGCAGTCTGGATATCCTAAACATTATAGTACTACAACAGCTTTGATTAAAATTGAAAACGATATAAAAATTGCACTTGACAAACGTAATCGAACAGTTCTAGTTCTTTTGGATTTTAGTAAAGCTTTCGATTCTATCAATCATAAATTGTTCTTCTTTCCTTTATTTAACGTCGGTATCTGTTCCGCAATCTAGTGCCAA